GGAGCTCATGAGAGGTCCCATCAGTCTGCTCCAGGACTCCCAAATCCTAACTCTGAAAAAGTTAGGACTCCTTCATTGAAGAGCATCTCTCATCTCTTTTTCCTGTCCACAGACCAGGAGAATAGACCACTCTCTTTAGCCAGCTGGACAAGGTTGGTTTGAATTCTAACCCTGCCTTGTAGACCCTCTCAGGCCCGTGTCAGGGCATCTGTAGAGCACAACCACCACCCCCATGGCCATCAGGGACACTGCTGAGCAGCCCCACCTCAGATCAGAGCTCTGAGGGACCTCACTGAAGCACCAAAGCAGGAGAAATCACTCCTCCTGTTACCCAAGCCATGGCTACCTCACAAATGTAGGACTTGGGTGAACCTGGTGCCCAGCTGGGGACACTTTATGGTGCAATCCACATGCAGGGAATTCTGGGCCATGTCCATTTTGAAATTGCACCCAGAAGAAACCCTGTGGAAGATGTTGTCTTAGTTCCTCGTCAAGGAGAAGCCAACGTACTGTGGCAACACGAAGACACCACGAGGACCTATGTGAAAATCAGGGCTTTCTCTTTTGGATATCACCAGATGTCTCCTCTCTGGGGTCTGAAACAGAGACAGAGATGTGGGAGAGCATTTCAGGGACATTTTGACCTTGCTTATGAAGTCTTTCACCTGCTCTTAGAAGATGTGGCCACCTGGCTATCCTACAACAAAGTTTTCTTTGGCTCACAGGAGTCCCTCAACTCTTCAGGCAGAAGGTGCCCAGCTCAGAGGTGACAAGGAGCAGTAGCACTGCCATATGTTTGTTGCCCCATGGGAGCTGCAGTTCCCCAGGTGCACAACAAGGATATGGGGAACAGGATCTGGCGTGTCCCTCTCCCAAACAGGGTCCAAGGAGTTGAATCCAAAGCAGTGAGATCACCCCATGGCTGCTCACGTGCAAGGAAACTAAAGTTGGCTTTCTATGAGGGGTGAGGTAGGATGGGACACTTGGTCTTGGACTTCTTCTCTAGTTAGTGTCCACTTTTGAACCATCAAAGCCTCACCATGATTAATTTCTAGGACAGACAGTGGGCTGGGCAGAGCTTTGATCTAACTCTAGATGACCCCTCCTGGATTCTACTGTCAGCTGGGCCACTGTGTAGGACAGCAGGACACCACAGAGTTGGCACTGCTGTGGACCATCACTGCCCCAGGGGACTAGAGGGCCCTCACAGGCCACCAGAAATCAGTTCAGTTGTCCTTTGACAGGTGTCCAGCAGGACAAGGTGCAGCACAGGGAAGGGACCAACTTACACTGCGAAGGGCTTTCAGCAGCTTTCCAGTGTCGTCCATAGTGAGGAGAAAGTCATCAAAAAACCTCATGGTGACCTCCCTGTTCCGTATGGAAAGGATGCCCATGGTCCTGAAGACAAAGTCTGTGTCCTGTCTTTTAGAGGTGGCTCGAAAGAACAACGTCACAGTCTCAAAGACACAGCATTGCACCCTTGCATAAGGCATCTGGGAGCACACGGAGAGCTCCTCACACTTCAGAGGGACAATCGGCACATCAGCTGGAGGAGAAAGAGGAACCAAGTCACCAGCAGGACAGAGTAGGCTCCAAGAAGGTGTCAGCAGCTCCAGGCAGGACGTTGCTCTGGAGCAATCTGTTGGGTCCCATGCTAGTAGCTCCCACAACTGTGTGGGAGGGCAGGGAGAAGGGTACAGATCCCACAGCCAAGTCCATGGTGCTGGACCACAGGTGTGCCCACATCCAGTGGACTCCAACAAAGTCCATGCCAGACCCATGGAGAAGCAATGGAGGAGGAAAACACAAGGACCACCCATCAGCATGCTGGTGTCCTCCTGCCCCTCATACCCACACACCCACCTGGTGTTTCAGTCACATGGAAGGTAGGGTGTAAGAGAAGAACCTTCCAAACACACACTCAAGCTCTTCCTGCCCCACAGCCTCATCCATGTCACACTGCAGCTGCACTGGCCAGAAATGGTGCCAAATCTGGCCATCCATGAGTCCTGCTGTAAGCTCTTCTGCCTGTCTTTGGTTCTGGTGGGTCTACAAGTGACTTGTCCCCACTTGGCTCCAGAAGGAGCCTCTAAGGGT